CGTCGCTGCTTGATCCAACGGACTTGTATTCCTGAACTGTACTATTGTCTCACCACCCCTTGCCCCGATTACTGCAATGCATCACCATGCGGACTCATATCCCACGGTCACAGACCTTATATTCGCCTATCCCTTTTTCGTCCAGTCGCCGATCCTAGTCACGAGCGAGGATTGCACGATACGATCATATCTTCCTCTGCCGCCTGCTTGGCCGTCAGTTGCATATCTTAGCTCGATTGTATTGCTGGTCTCATACTCCTGGGCGTACTGTCACTACACCTCGCCCAACCTTGGTATCTTTTACATGTCACATATTTTTCGCTGGTTTTGACCCTCTTCGTGATAACGTAGTATCTTTCGTTTACACCTTCACTTCGTTAAATGTTCAATTTGCCGCGCTTCAAGTGCTGATCCGCGTCCCATTCATTGTCTGAATGTATTCCTAATTTCCTGTTATCGAGATACAACGCTGGTCGTCTGTCAAAGTTCTGACACGTGAGAAGGCCATTGACAGCCATTGACGTGGAGCCTCGACAGGCGCTTCCGCAACACTGTACCTTTCCCCACATTCCCTACTTGCGGCTGTACCGCGCACTCCTTCCCCGCATCATTCTTAACCTCGGACGCAGCGGGTCTGCACATTTACTCAACCTTGATTCACTCGCAAACAATGTCACAAAGGTCCGTCTTCAAAACGTATCCGTACGCATCCTGCTCTCGAGCTCAGTCGTGGACCGTCCGAGCAGCAGGTTCAGGGCTCCGAACGCGGACAGCGCGCTACACAACCGTTCGGCGCTGCTAGGCACGCAAGAGTACTACACGCCGCCGTCATCCGGACGCTCGTCACCCTTCGGGGGAAGTTCTGGCGGACATGGCGGGAACCCGTTCCAAGCCGGGCAGCGTTTCGCGGACGACCTCGAGGGGCAGAACGACGAGGCGCTGGAGGGCCTCACGGCCAAGGTGAAGCTGCTCAAGGATGTGAGTGAGTCTGCTGTATCGTTCGTGTGTGCGAGGGCGGCGTGGTTGACCATGTAACATAGATTACGGTAGGCATCGGCCAGGAGGTGAGGGATTCGACGGTGCAGCTCAGTCAGATGGTGCGTCTTTATACCATTCCCCCTCCTAGTCTCAATGCTCACGCCGAATACCCTCGGCGTGCAGAACGATACCTTCGCGGAGACGTCAGGCATCCTCAAGGGCACCTTCCGGCGGATGAACAACATGGCGGCGCGCCAGGGCTGTCGATGGCTCTGGTACATCGTCTTTCTCGTCCTCATCTTCTGGTTCTTCATCGTTGTCTGGTGGTTTCGCCGGTAGCAGCCTCACAACGTCTTACTATTACTCCGCTTTGGAAGCAGATCGTTGCTTCTCGTTGCCAAATTGTTGTAGGATGTTCTTACTTCTCGTTACTGGCGTGCGGACATATTCTCTTCCCCCTTGCACTACTCGTGTATCTCCTGTTTTGTCACTATCTGGACTTGCTAATCCATCAACATTTCACTTTCACGCTTCACACGAAAAATATGACCGGGAGGACGATGTCCGCGCAGGACAACGTCAAGTTCTTTGTTGATGTGGCCAAAAAAAAAAAGCGCGCGCGCGCGCGAGAGAGAGAGACAGAGACAGAGACAGAGAGACAGAGAGAGAACGAAAATAAAAACAACCAGGGGCAAACACCAGGTGACACAACCAAGAGTACAAGTACAATACGACAAGAACAACCACAGGAAACGGAACCCGAAACCGATGCACGATGCTGTATGTACGAATAATGTAATGCGAGTGTTCGAAGCCGAAATGTGATGCTGAGATAGATGACGGACTAATGCAGTGCTGAGACCGATATGTATGCGAGGACAATGGAGATAGATGCAGCGATAAAGATGGAAAGATCATGAGAAGGGACACTACTATGGGAGTCGACTATCTGTCGGTCCAAAGCTTCGTGTGCCCAATTTCCCAGATCATTCGTCTCCGGAGGTAGTGCATGTTCGCCTGCGTGAAGGCAAACTTTTCCTCGCCGCGCGATAGTGTTTCCAGAAACTGGCATGTGAAGACGCCGCAGTCGTAGCCATTCTCCTGCTGCGGCGTGTCTTCGAGCGTCCAGTCAACCCAGCCGTCAAAATTAAACGGCTTCTTCTTTTTGTTTCGGTGCTCGGCGTCGAGATATGCGCGCAAGAGCTTGAACACCTGTGCTCGGTCCATGTTCATGCTGTCGTAGCTCTCGATCCGCTTCTTCCGGAAGTTGATCGCCGCGCCCGTCCAGTGCGAGTTGTTGTGGTTCACGGGAATGAGGACAACGTCCTTCGAGAACAAGTCAAGCTGTGCCATACAATTTGAGGTCAGTAGCCACATCTTCGTTAAAGAACGGAATACGCACCTTCTTTGTCCACTTCGCTAGCCTGCCCTTCTCGTATCCTTCATTCTTGAGCTTCGACCAGAAGAACGTGCTGAGATAGTGCACGTCCAACAGGTTCTCTCGTGAATTCTCTTTGCTCTCCTCTGCGCGACACGTGATCATCTGCCCGTAGAAGTTAATAATCTCGTCGTTAAGCCACTGGCCTGGTCGCAGTCGTTGAAGATCCTTGTCGCTGACTTGTTCGCGAACGCATTTGCCAATAACACCGCGCCTCCGTAGCAGCTCTTCCACCTTGATGTCGTCTTCTGGCAGGAGCGACACAGGCAAAGAAGGGCATTTCGGCCGAATGCGGGCGTCGATTTCTTCGGAGACCTTCGCTTGTGTGGCTTGTAGTCGCGCGAGCGATGGCGCGAACACAACAGGCTTGGGAGCGAAAAGAGACTTTTCCGCATCCCGGAGAGCGCGCTGAATGTACGTCGTCGACGCGACGGGATTTGATTTGCTCCGCGATAGCGGAGGCATGAGGTCTGCGTCACGCAGGTCTTCAAGAGACGGTGAGGCTATGTACGAGAGATGTTATTACTGACGCACCCCCAACCTTCTTGAGATACGTACGTTTGGTGTCCTCAAGTTTCTGTAAAAGCTCCAAACGTTCTCGGTAGCCTAGCCATCCTCGGAATTCTTTCATCGAGGATCGGAAGCCAGCTAACGCAATGTCAGCTTGGGTAGATAGTCGATGTACAAAGATATACTCACTTGTTCGTCTTCTAAGTAGATACAGCTCGCGCTCCATGTCCTCTCTCGTCTTTCTCAGCTGATCTTTAATACCAGCCTTGAACTGGCCTTGGAGTATGTGCTCTCGATGTTTAATATGTTTGATTTTCCGCGGTGCCGTGGCCTTGGCCTGGCGATGAACTGCGGCCGCGATGGCTTGGTCGATCTTTGGGTACAGCCCCGCGAAGGTAGTCGGGGGGCTAGGCGACGAGCCAGAAGTTATGCTAGGAGGTGGAGTAGGCAGTGGGTTGACAGCGGGAACAGAGATGGTGTTGCTGGTAGGGAGCAGCGGCTCTCCTGATGTTGACTCGTCTTCTTCAGAGGTAGGCGGATAGCGTGGTGGAGGCGGCGGAGACTTGAATCTCACAGTGCGCCGTTTGTTTAGATCCGCTTCCAAGCTCGATATTTCGCTCGACGACGTGGACGAGAGTGGCGGCGATGGTAGGACAATGCGAGTTGCACGCACAGTACTGGGGCTAAAGCTGATAGACTTCAACTCGACCTTCTTTGAGGGTGACGAAGGGGCGGATGGTGGCGGAGAGATAGGGTACGACAGACAGACTTCTGGGACCTGCGGCTCGGGCTGTCTTTGTGGTTGAGGAGGGGGCTGTGTCGGCTCCTCATGCTCGTAACCGAGAACGAAAGAGACAGCGCTGGAGAGTTTGTAGTAGATGAAGATACCAGTATCGTGGACGAGATCCATGACTTCTTCGCCGAACGTAATCCAGCGGACGGTGAGCGATTCTGTGTGCGAGGATGTTCGAGGGCGCTTCGGGGCGTGTAGGGGCAGAAGTTCTTCTTCTGCACGTCGTTTGAGCGGATTACGAGCGAGCATGGAGGGTGCTAGCGGTATGCAAAGGACACCGCGAGGTGGGAGCGTCGACTAAGAGGACAAAGCAACTTGCCTTGATGGCCGTTGAGAACAAGTAAACGAAGGACCGCTTTCCTCTTCGGGCCGCTTCCGAAGGCGTCCGCTCCTTGTACCACTTTAGGCTCACATTGTTGCCACGCCTCCCTGGCTCAGTCGGTATAGATATGATGGCTCGCGCAGATTAAAGGTCGTGAGTTCGATTCTCGCAGGAATTTTGATTTTCTTTGTCCAGAGTAGTGCTCTAAAATTCTGTTCTATTCTTTAAGGCTCCAACCGTTTAGTTTACATGTAAACTTTTTTTGTAAACACACAGTAAACGGTTGTAAACACACAGTAAATGGTTGTAAACACACAGTAAATGGTTGTAAACATTTATAAACAGTTTATAAACAGTAAACAAACAGTTATTACAGGGATCTAACCCACTCTAGTGGATTGCGCCAGATTAGCCTCTGAGAAACCTGTGTGAGCCTACTGCTCTACTTGAGCCTAAAAAGAGAGGTACAAATGTCAGTGCTTGAGCAACGCAAGGCGCTTGCTTGATGTGCAAGAGAAAAGCAAGGCCGCAGCTTCCTACTTACAATATTGATGTCCCAAACACTAGGCCCAACTCAGATGTGTATAGATAGTGCACCTACTCATGCGTACAGGGAAGGAGCAATGCGTGCATCACATCCAGAGCACAGACCAGCCATCAGGCAGCATCTGAACACTCCGTACCTCAAGCATCGTGCTATGGTCATTCCTATGGCCCGCTAGTGTCCCCTACGCATAGTATGCAGATTGCGGGCACACGAATAGTCTCGATCGGCCAGTGGAGGTTGCGAAAGGACAAACACTGGCAATCACAAGCTGCGGGAGCAGTATTGCCAGGCAGCACTGTACTGTGAGGGTAAGACCTACGAAGGTATCCGTGGGGCTTGTAAGAAGCTTGCGGTTCCGCCTTTAGAAGGTTGGCATGTCCTATCATTGACCTCGTCGTTGAGAAGTGGGCCGATAACCTATGCGAGTGTTAGCCTGGCACTTCGGGGGTGACACGACATACTCTCGTGCTAGGACTTCGAGAGCTGGCCTAGAGAAGACTGCCGCATGGGTGCGGACCTCTGATAGCCCTTTTTTAGAGTCAATCTGCCTTAGTATCGCATGTGGTACTGTCATCGCTCAATGAGGTTGAACTAATATTAATATTGTTCCTCTTGAATGAAGTATGGGCTCACGACATTCCCACATACCGCACTCTCGCAGGCAGGCTGCCAGTGCCCACAGTAGACTATATGTAGAGGAGCGGTCAATAAATACACATTATATTATATTTATAATGCTCACCTTCAGACTGTGCTCAATACAAGTTAGGATCATGACTACCATTACTCCCAGTAAGTCTCAGGGCATAGACGCTTGATACAGTGCACCGGGCTTGGGGGTTCAAAGAGGCCGCTCGAGGAAGGTGCACAGGCGGTGCAATGCACTCTTCAGCCCAATAAAAGTCAAGTCTGTTAGCAAGACTATGAATGTACAACACTAAGACCTTTTACAAACAACAAGAGGAAACTGTATGTTTACTGTGTATAAACGTTTACACCAAGTTTACATGAGTTCATTTACACACATGGAAACGGTAAACAGTAATAAATGTTTATACACAGTAAACAAACAAAACGGTTGGAGCCTTACTATTCTTTCGCAATGAATCCCAAATTCCCAATATTTATATAGAGTCTAGACTAAAACACCCCGGGCGTCGAAGCCCTGGGACACACTTCGAAAGTTGGCGGCGGTCTTCTTATTTCTAATAATTTACTTTTTCTTCTTAATCCTCTCTGCCAGTACGTAGCACGAGTCACCCTCTCGTACTTGTGGGGATCGGGAGCCCGAATCGCTCAGTACTAGTTTCGGACGGATATCAACTTTCATTACTGGCAGGAAGTATAGCGCGCAAAGTCCATCCTACTAGCTTGCACAAGTGCAACAACCTCCAGAAATGCTTGACATTTACACCCGCACTTGTCGCATATCGTCTATGATTTGTGTTTCATGTTGCAGTTACAGCAGACGTAGTATAACATCAGATATTTGTGTTGTGGATTCACACATACTTGTACGGAAGAAAGACTAGAAGTAGTAAGGATAAATAAAAGTAATGTAAAAATACATGGCACGTTAAACACCGGGCTAGAAAGAGTGGAAGGCGTCAAGGCAAAAGTAAGAAGCTTGTCTACAGTAAGAGGAAGGCCGCGGCAGGATAAGGGTAAAAGTGACTCTCGACGCAAGCCAGAGACTGATTGAGACAAGAAAAGGGACTGTGAACAGTCGGACGAGGGTAGGGTGGAGAATATGTAGGATGTGGCGGGGTATCTGCTTGAGAATGGAGAATAGGAAGACACGAGAAATGCAGGAAACAAACATCGGCTTTTCGTCTAGTCTACAGTGCCTGGCGTAAGGTAGGTGGATAGATAGAAAGGATTGCGAAGAGTGAGGTGAGTCTAGTCGGCGCCGACAGAGCGTGTACGCAGGTCGAAATGGTGACGGATGAGACGCGAATGGTTGTTGGTAAGAGACGCGTCAACATGGGTGAACGACTTTCAGCGCGTCTTGGGCTTGACATCGCGAGCACGACACGAAGAGGCTTTATGATCGTCCTGAGACTAATACTCGTTGCTGAGATTCATCGCAGCTAATGAAAGCTGCAGCCACTGCGTAGCCCCAATAAATAGCACCTCCTGCACTGCTCCATGCGCCCCCCCCCCCCCACGCCGTGACCACACTTGCCCGCGGCGCAGCGACTCAACCACACCATCTCTACCCCGTCGGCGCAGCTCGGGCTCAGTCCTGGCGACTGAACTCAGCCTGGGTGAGATTCAGGACGAACTCGGACTTGAAGTTCTTTGGAGGCTCGATGATTTTGATTGCTTTCCGCGAAGAGGTGGGCGAGAGCGGCGAAAGCGGTTGCGCAATGCTCGGGAACGGCCGTAATGGGCGCGAGGTGGGGAAGTGCACGGGAGTGATGGAGAGGTTGCGTTTTGGCTGCGGACGTGTGGAGAGGTATGCGGGGCCGTCGATAGATGTGGGGCGGGCGAGCGGGGAAGACACGGAGGGACGGGATGCGAGAGTGGCTGGAAAGAGGACGAGTCCTGTGAGCGGGTTAGCGGGGTTTGTAGTCAATCATGCGCACCCATTGCTCGAAGTAAATCAGCGAAACAACCTAGAGTCAAGAACGGGCTCGGTGGGCTTAGATGTGGGACGAGGGGGCAAAAAAGAGCGACAGGGTAGGAATGTGTTGGGGAGGGACTTATACACATTGCAACAGACTTGAACTCTTGGGGATGGGCCAGCGTCTAAGTCGCGGCCGCTTTCGGACAGAAGACGACAAGTCCGACGCGAAATGATCGCGTTTCGCCCGACGGCGGCAACATACAGCCCTAGTCTCCGTACAGTGACCGCACTCACGACCAGCAGCCTCTTGCGCTCGAACTCGCCTGCCAAATGTCCCTTGCTTGCTCTCCGAGCTATGAGCCCTCCGCCTCGATGGCGTAGGGCCCAGTGTACCCCACGGGTCTCCAACCCTACTCCCACTCGATACCGCGGGTCGCTCGTGCCTCTTCACCTCCGCTTCTGGCAGCTTTCCTCCCATTCTCCATCTTTGGGGACGCACCCCTGCCACTTATCTCGCTCACCAACCAGATGCCTGCCTCCTATCATTCCCCACTGTGTCTCCTATAACCTCCAGACGCTTGACGCGTTAGTGCTCCTTATCAAATAGCGACCATCTCCATTCTGCCCCTCGCCACCGTCTGTATTTATTATGCAGCCATCCCATATGCGCTATAGCTTTTCGGATATCGTCATGCACCGACCATTCATCTACCCTGGGTAGCAGCCACAAGTGGCAGCGTTACCGCTTGGTGGATGGATATCAGGACAATGGGGATCGCTGCAAGAGAGTAATGACCGCCCCAACGCTCCATAATTCGTCTTGCAACGGTTCGGCTACAGAGAATAACAGATTCGGTTAAGGCGGCCTAAAGCGCTGTGGCGAGCCTGCTGCATGCGTCTGCCTAGTGTGTAGTGAGTCAAGTTCCTCTAGCATTGCTTCGATCACGACATACAGAATCGTACACATGCCTGCGCTGTCTCAGTCAGGCATGGTACCTCGCTTTCCGGGCACTACGACCACCCAGGCCTAGGGCCTGAAACGTGACTTGCGCTACCAGAGGCTATTCGTATAAGCTTGCGGCTGTCCTCACTGGTAATGGTATGTCCACACGACCATACCAGTGGGAACAGGCACAGCTAGTCCGCGGCGCATGCCCTCTGGCCGTGTTTCCGTAGCCTTTCCGCTCGGCGCGGGTGACATTTTGCGCGGTCAAGATCCTGGGACGCAGCTACTGTACTGCCGCACACCTCTATATCAACATAGGAAAGCACTTTAGTTCGCCGACTACCAAGGAGATCATCTCGGACTTAACACTTGCATCAGAAGCCAAGCTGCGAGCGTTCCGCAAGGAGCTGCTCTGAGTG